TTCATTAAATAAATGGCATACAACATCCATTTTCACAACATACAGCTTTAGTGTGTGCCCCTGTTAATGCAGTCTTACCGATTGTTAAGCGAGTCATTGACCCGTTTTTAAGTTGTAAATTAATATTTTGACCATCGAAAATGACTTTATCATTTATTATATCCAAATAATTTTTAGGTGTTAATTGTTATTTTGTCGTAAACTTACACCTTTCATTTTTGTGCTATCTTTTTGAAGGAGTCTTCACCAATCATTCCGTTGAATGATGTATAACACTTAGGCATAAAGCAACCATGTTTATCACCTTGTTTCTCAATTGCTAAACCCAATAATTTTTTCTCATGTGCTTTTTCTTCAGCTTTATTCTTTAATTTAGGTTTAAATTTCTCATCAAAACAGAAGAAATCAAAGGTGCGAATTGAAAATGTTTTTATCATAAAATTGTTTATCGGTTACAATTGCTTGAAATGCTTGAGTGTTAGGAAGATTTGGGTCGCCAGCGATTGCCCAATAAGATGAATCAGTATCACCTTCAATGAAATGAAAACGTTTAACATTCATGCATTTATACATAAAATCATAAATTGAAAACTAAATACCAGTATTTAGCATTATCTAAAGTGAGAAGAATGCCTCTTGTAAACATGTATCACATCTATAAAATCTATCTCTTGAGCATCACTTGATATGTATCCTCACCTATTTCTCTTATGTTTTTAAACTTATTTGACATACATGCAACGCGTGCCTTCTGTGCATTCATTATTTTAGTCTTTGCGTAATTTTGTGTATTCATTGCATCGTAACCATATGATCCATTAAGTGAAATTTTGCAAAATAAACTTTTTCCTTTATTTCCTTCTAATTCAGCCTTTTGTCTTTCGTTTCATAAATTTGTTCGCAAATTCATTAAAACAAGTATTTTTCGTAAATGTTAAAATTTATGAATATCATCGATGATAAAATGAAATCTGTCTATTAGATACCAAAATAATAAGAAGAAAATGGTTGATATTGGTTGTGTGTTGATGCTAACTGAGTTAATTTTCTCTGTTTCTGGTCAACTGGTAGATTGTTTGATTTCATGTATTATACATAAAACCGCCAATTGTTTTTTCATCTGTGATAATATCTAAGTTTCTTATTATCGGTAAAAAGTTTATGTAATCATTAATGTATTTTCATCAATGTGACCCTTTACTTCAGCAACGAATAAAGTATTTTTCTTCTTAATTATTCCCAGTGCTTTTGCTTTCTTTGTTGCTGTATCACAAATGATAACACCTTCAATCTTCCCGGCATATACATTTTATGGTCAGTATATTGAATGAAATCATGGGATTAGATGAAAATGATGAAGGATATAATGAATTAAAGTCAACTCCAACGAAATGAGTCATGATGTTGGAAGTGTCCTCATTTGATACTGTTTTAGTTTCTGGATTATATGAAAGTTTATTAATGTGTGTGATTCCTTTAAGATTAACACGATGTTGAACATTTGATAAACCACCAGTAATTCCATTACGGAGGATGTGATACGCTTCCACTGAATCTAAAGTCATTGGTAAATTATTTTTCAATGCATAATTTCTTAAATTGATTCTTAAACGTTGAACTTCTTCATCTTTGTTTGATTTTACGACATTGCAATAACAACACATTAACTGACAATTATCTTTAGTATGTGGTTTTTCATTATCGATTCTATCTAATGTTGGTTTATTTGCATATGTAAACGCTTTACCACACATTTTGCATTTAGATGAAAGGATTAAATCGTGATAGTATTGAAAATCATCCATTGAAACATTATTTTTGTATCCTTTCTGCTTTTTCATCTTGTTTCTTATATGATTCAATTTTATATTTCCAATACTTTTTCGTTAATTCAAAACTTGATTCCACATTTTCTTCTTCTGGATATGTTTCGTTAGGATTGAAGTTCTTATATGCTAACGCGTAACGAATCATTGAAGCATTCGATGATAAAGAAAGATTATGAAGCATATCAATTTTATAAACAAATGTTTCTTCAATAATTTTATCAATTGGGTCAATCATAATTTCAACATCTTTATTGCAATAATGAATAAAATATTCTAATCTATTCTTAAAGTTTTTAGCATCATTGAGATATATTTGATAATCACTATCTGATATAGTTTCTTGAGTTAATGCTGAATAAAATGAATCTTGAGTGAATGGTTCCTTTTTATATAATTCTTCTTCGTAATTCTCCCATGTGATGAATTGATAAGGGAAAAAGGATTTAACACGTGATTTATTGTTTCCGAAATCTTGAGTAAATTGGTCTAATGTTCCACCCGCTATATAATTTCTGATGTCAATAAATCTCAATTCATATGGACAGTTTGTTTTCTTTACAACGATTTGCTTAAATTGTGAAGAAGAACCCAGCATTGATTTTATCTTCCATTTTGCAGTATTTAAATCACGAAGAATTAAATTTAAATCAAACTTTCCCGAATTAAAACCTATGATATTCACTTTATTAAATTCTTCATCTAAAAGCTCTTTCATTGCTCCCTTTTGTTTCTCATTTAATGTATGGGACTTCAATAATTCTTCATATTGTTCAATATTTGATTTAGCAACTAATGAACAGGTTGAAAATAAAAATTCAATCCAATCAGAGATGAACGAATCACTTGATGTTAAGCAAAAATTCCTCGTAAATGTTTTATCGTTTAATTTAACCGTTGATGATACCATAAATGGTTTTAAGTAAGCGTTCAAAGTTGCACATTCAGAAAGTTGAAGTTCTTCTTTAGTCTCTAATGTTTCGAAGTCAAAAGTAATATAATATCTTGTTGGTTTATAATATTCCTGCAAATTATGTGCTAATAGCCATTGATATATCTTCTGTTTCGTGATATGTGGTGCATATGGTTGTTGTGTGTTTTGCAATTGTACGTCTTGAATTAATCTTCCATTATTTTCTTTACATTTCTCACAATGTTTTAAAAATCTTCTTTGGTTTTTCCTTTCTGGATCATCACGGATAGAATATACTTCTTCTTTGCAAAAGGGGCAAACTTTATATCCTGTGAGTGCTTCAACGTCTGTTATTCTGTCAGCGTGAAGTTTTCCACATGGACTCTGTGTTAATAAAATATTTACTGTTTCAAATTCTGGATCTATCATTATTGTTTCCACTAATAGAAAGTCTACCTTGTTAATGTCTACGTCTTCTGGTTGAGGGTCACAATAATAGAAATCAATATTAACGTTTAACATTCTTGCTAACCTCTCACTTTCTGATGAAATGTCAAATCCTTCATATGCATCTATGGCTTCATTTAAATAACTTCTACGAGTTTTAGGATTAACACCATCAGGAATGTTATAGAAGCGTTTAAATAACCTTCTACCTTCGGCTCTTATTTGATTATCATTCATTTTAGCTGTTCCGTTTTTGTTCATTTATGTAAGAAAAAAAAATTAAAAAATAAATAAAAATAAAGTTTATTTTTTTTAAAGTCCAGGGCTAAAGTCCATAAAATGAATTAAGAACACATAAATTTTTATCATCTGCGACGTGACGAATACATTTTAATTTACTCAAGAATGCGTACCCTGATACATTAAATCTAATTCCTGTCTTATTTAATTTCACAACTTTGAAAAGGAATGTGTGAATAGCTATGAAATGATGACGAGATGATTTATGTGTTGCTTCCATTTTTTCTGAAATAAATGAATAAATATAATGTTTATAGGTTTTCATATCTTTTATGTTCTTAATAACGAATGGAATAGATCTTTCCACTTCGTCCTCCTTCGGAGCTGTTCTTTCATATGAAACATCAACGGTATCTTCAACAATGAAACCGCAATCACATAAAATTTTATATGTACCAATTGTTTCTTTTGATATTTTATCTAATAATCAAAAACTTTATCAACACCTGTACATTTATTTAAATAATAATTTGTGTAAATATCATGGTCTTCTTTCTTAATCGTATTTGTTGCATATGTTACATTTTTCAGTGCTTTTTTGAATTTTTCAGAATCAAGAGGAGGTGAAAGTAATATACATGGATAATCTCCATCGTCAATAAACTGAAGCTTATGTTTATGAATAAATTTTGTGCCTTCTTCTGAAAGTGTTTCGTCAATATCACCATCTAATAAATTTTTAGTTGATTCCAAAAAGTAATTTTTATATCTTTCCTCATGTGATTTTTGAACTTCTGATTCTGAAGCTGGGATATTCATTAAACCCTCTACTTCATTCTCATTATATTTTTCAACTTCTCTTAATTCCTTAATTTTTTCATTTATTTCATCTCTTATTTTTTTCAGTCTTTCAATTTCAATTTCATCATATTCATCATCTTTAATTCGTTCTTCATAATATTCAGGGAAAACATCAGGTTCTTTAGGTTTTTCTTTTTCTTTAGATGTGGGATATAAGAAATTTATAACATCATCTTTATTCATTTTTCCATCATAATCAAATTCATTTAAAAACTCCGCGAATTTTTGACAATTTCTTAAATAATATTTATTAACTTCATAACCTGCCTCCTCTAATATATCCTTTATTTCCTCATTTGTGAATCCTGAATATCTAACATCGTTAGTTTTGACACTCATTTTCTTACGAATTAAAAATAAATTTTTCAAAATGCAGATAAATTTTAACATGTTCGAAATGAAATTATTATAAAATATATTCTTTTATTAATGGTAATATAGGAATTGTAGGAATAAAAACTTTTTATAAATTATTCATAAATTTTTAAAATCTGCTATTCGGAAGTATGTTCAAAAATCATTCAATTATGTGAGAATTCTTACGATTACAAAAAAAGTCACACAACCCGTCATATATACTACTTCAGAATTTCAGCATTCTTTGATAATGAAAATTGTGTAGTTAAGATAATATTGCATGATTCTAAGATAATTTCAAGAAATTCGAAAATGTGGCTAAATTCTTTGGCACTTTTTGATTTAATATAACAAAGATGTTTGAAGTAATTCTTGTTGAAGACAAGCTTCCACTTCCATATCATCATATGAAAATGGACCCATCAACCCAAGAAATCACTGTTGATCCACAAGTTCTTTGTGATATAATCACACATAAATATAATGATACAGTTTTACCAAACTACGGACTTTTAATTGACTTATTTGATATTGTCAAAGCTTATGAATGCAAGTCCCTCCCAGATATTCCTGTCGCTTATGTTAGATGTGTTTTCAGATATATCGTTTTTAACCCTCCGATTGGTTCAGTATGGACTGCAAAAATCTCTGGAACTAATGAGGATGGAATTTCTCTCCAGATGTCATTTTTCAATGATATTTGGATCCCTTGGGCAAATCTTCCCGAGAATACAGAATACGAAGCCAAAACAAATACATGGAGATTCATACCAAATCCAGATGATGATGAAGATGCAGAAGAAGCAGAGTATTACTTCAGCGAGGGTTTGATAGTTAAATTTAGAGTTTGCGAAGTTAAATACAACCCTGATGAGAAAGCTGGCCAATTAATGGTTATCAGTGGCTCAATGTCTACTAATGGTCTTGGTCCAATTGCTTGGTGGCAGCCAGATGAACCAGCCGAAGCAGCTGAGTAATCATATCTTTGTGTTATCTAGGATATATTCGTATTATTTTCTTTAAATGTGTATTGCTATGATTCTATGATCACTCTTTGATACTATTTTCAAATTGTTATTAAATAAGCATTTATTATAAAGAATTTTTATAACAAATGGAAGCAATATTAACAGAAAGAAATAATGAGGGGAAAAAACTATAGCAATATTATTATATTGATGAAGTTTATTTCGCAAAGTCTATACAATAGAATATATACTTGGTTTTTGTATAGAATCATGATCATATGAATCACAGAATTTCAAAAGAAGAGATGAAAAAAAATCCGATAATAAATATTACTATGGACTATTGTTAATACAGCAGGAAAGTGAAAAATACAGAGGCAAATAAGTATACAAGAGAATATTTAAATTAGACTTTATAATAATATGGAAAAAAAAAATTAAGCAGCTTTGTAAGAATATTTCTTCTTTTCGAGATCACTAATTTCTGTACCAAATTCATTTCGGAATTTGGTGGCGCTGCATTTAAGATAGAATATTAATAAGAATATTAAATGTAAAAGTATGGCAACGAATGTATTAAAGTACTTTAATGTGAATAAGCTTAGAATAATTGAGATTAATTCTACAATTACAATGATCTGTATAGAGTTTCGAATTTGAATGAAATGTGCTGCAAGAGAAACTGCATGAGGAATAGCATAAATCAATGGAATTATCTTGTGTTCTACTTGCGTTGTTAAAAATAAGCATAATAATATCATAGAAACGCTTAAAACAATAAAGAAGATATTTTGTGTTTTTGCAAAGCCTTCATAATCTTTTTTCATATTGTTAACTATTTCATCCTGCTTGTCTGAGTCTATTAATTCGACTTCATCTGTATTTTGCTGTCTATGTTGAATAAAAGCTTCGTCTTCCATAAAATAATAAAAAAAAATTCTCAAAATTTTCAAAATTTACTAGGGCATTTGATTGCTTGATAAACAATATTGGTATTTCTCTTAAGAAGTATTATTGCATCATTCTGATAATATAACATAACATATATTCTCCTTCATTAAAATTGCAATCAATATGCCTCATTTACATGATAATATTTTGTGATTTTAGAATATAGGGTTTTTTGTTATCATTACTGATAAATAAGAAATAGTATCAATAAACAAACATATTTGTCGTTTAAAAAATTCTTAAATTTGATTTTTCATCCTCCAAAAGAATTTTGAAAAAGAAATTTTCAAGAAATTTTTGTAAAATCTTCAGTGATAAATATTTCAAAATCGAATTATTAGTTTTGGATGTTATCACGAACATGAGATATACTGCATGTGTGGATTCACATATCCAAATATCATACCAAAAAATCAGTTGGAAACAAAAATCCATATAATGTAAAATCATTTCATTATTTATTAGAGACTATTGAACTCCCAGATAGTCAAGTAATAGTTCACCAATCAGATTTTGCTCATTTGCATTATTTTGTTACTTTTCCAACAAAAAAAAAAGATGTTTTCGTTTTTCGTTTCTTTTATAAAGTGTGAAGATATATTTACTGATTTCGATCCAACCCAGCTTGAAGCACATCATTACGGACCAAAATCTAAATGGATTCTAAACAATGCAAGCGCTCATTCGTCATCAAATTATATTTTCTTCTCATGTCACTCTTTCTTGGTTTGCAATTACTATAAAGAAGTTGCAAACATTTTTGAAAATAATAGCATCGAATTTGTTCGCGTAGATAGTAATTTTTCTTTTAATAACTTCAGTTTTACAACAAGTTCTTCAAAAACATACGAATTCAATATAGTCAACAATTATTCGGATATATATGAACCCATTGCTTTCTTTTATGGAAATTCCGATCAAAAATCTAATATTTCGGAAATCAACGAAAGTAATTACATTACAATCATTGCACCAGAAAGTCAATATGAAAGTATGATAAAATTATCACTTGAACTTTACGATGAGATAGGATTCGTAAATGTAAGAAAAACAAACGAATCAGATACCTTCCAATTATGGAATCCATATGAAAGGGAACTCTCAGACTTCTCTGGTACAAAAGAATCCCTTTTATCGGTAATGAATCGCAAAATTCGGACAAAAACTTACAAACAATTATTAGATTCGGATGAGGTCACTTTAATATTTACCAAGGCCAAACCCAACAGAACAGATATTGATTTAATATACAGAATCGTCTCAGTATTCCCTAAATTAAATGTTATGTATGGAAATCAAGAAATCTTGCAAGATATGAATTATCTTGCATCACCAATTGATTCCCAATTTGCTCTACTTTATCCAACCCTCGGAATTTTCTCTACTTTACAGAAAAAAGAACTAAATAGAACAATTCACTTGACAGAGAGACAAATCAGAGCAGAAATACAAGAGGCAAGAGATCTTATGAATATTACATTCGATGATACAAAGAAAGTTCAACGACCAGTTGAATATCTCGATTGTAAAAATCCCCATTCAATTCCAATTCAACTCTTCTATGGCCCACCGTTAACCGATACACAATTTGCCAGAGTTCGGTGTTTCATTAAAGATTACATCGAAAACAAGTTTTTCCCGGTTGAAAGCACAATGGCAGGGTCCAACAATACTTGGTTCAACGTATATATCCCAGTAAACATAACTAGAGATGTAACTCAGGAACAATTTTGGGAATTAGTTGCTAATTTAACTTATACGTTGAATAACTCACTTCCTTGGAACGAATATGGACCAGGAATGCCAGGATATCGCGAATTGTCTTTCGACAAAAACGGATATCAAATAAATAATCCTCTGAAGATCCAAGAAGTCAATTCCATTGACAAATACTTCAGAGGTGGCGCCGACAGAGCTAATATTAAAGAATTTATGGGCACAATTCGAAGAAATATGAATTCAACTCAAGATTACAAGCCAATGCAAGTTTATCCACGTATTATCTTTGATTGGCTCTACTCGGCTGTTAACGCAACTCGTTGGTTCTCGCTTTCAGTGCCAACAAACCAAGATTCAATTTTCAATCAAAAACCAGCGTTCAAACATCTTAATACTGGCAGTTTCGGGCCATTTTATGCTGGAGCACATGATAAATGCATATTATTCTACGACAATTCCCCTCAAAGCGAGCGAATGTTGTACGAATTTTCAAAATTGTCGAGACTTGCAACACAAGTCGACAAATACAGAGACCTATCATTCGGAGCAATCAATGTTGACATGAACTACGCACAGTTCATGCCTAGAAACATATCTGCTCCTCTAGTTATGAAATCTAAGATTCCATTCATTGCAGTTCTTCCTCAGCAATGGTATAATTTCAGAGCATTCATCATTGATAATGGCGATGATATGGCGAGATTAACATCCGAATACGAAGAAAGAGAAAGATTCGATCATCCATCGAAATCAGTTAGCTCTTTCTTCAACGAATCACTTTGGGATCCATTGCATTACAGCACAATGCAGAAAAAGCTCAAAACTCTCACAAAGAAGAATGCTACGGCTGTTTCTCCGAGCGGAAAACACTTAATTCCAAATGAAATGTTTTATTGGAGTTTACAATACTACAGAGGTCGCTATTAATATATATTTTGTTTGATATAAATATATAAATATTTTTTTATTGTATTCATTTACGGTTCTACTTTTTTTTTGTTTGTTTGAATCGAATCAGATATATTTCTCAAAATTTTCAATGAATACTCTCAAAATTAAATATATTAGATCAGAAAATATAATTTTAATAAAATCATAATTATTTCCACTTGATATAAATATATGAACCGAATTTCGGAATAATGATTAAATTTGAACAGTCTGATCGAAAACACGATGGAACAAATAATACTCGGTAATACGAATACATAATAGATAATTCAATCTGTTATCATTCAATATCTCAAAATTTTGACAATCACTCTGAATTAGTTTTTCAAATACACCAATGAATAACTTTGCTATAAAAGCTAACCACTACTGAATTTAGATATTTCTTTTCATAATCCTCTAAAACCTTCAATGTCTGAAAAGTTTTGAAAAAATTGAAATTGTGAGCGCGCCCTTAGAAATAAATTAATGTCATTACTAAATGAATGTTCCTTATTATCTATCCTTCTCACTTCTCCGTAGTAATTCCATTGATATTGCTGCTGACTTCGACTACAATGATAATTGTATACCTTACAGCATTCTTCTTGATCCAGGCAGATATTTTTTCGAAGCTTGGGGTGCTGCCGGCGGCAATTATGGGGGAAATGGAGGGTATACGGCAGGAACAATTGATTTTAGCACGAGAACTCAATTATATGCGATTGTTGGAGGAATGGGTGAAATGCCTGTTAAAGAAGTTCGTAATACAAAGGGCGGGTGCGGTGGAGGAGGAAAAGGAGGAGCTCCAGCTTCCACTAATTACTATTCTGGAGCTGGAGGTGGTGGAGCGACCACTGTTTACTACCAAAATTATTCGACCGACAATAGAATCTTAGTTTCTGGGGGAGGCGGGGCTTTCAAGGCCCTGGGAAGGGCTTTACGTATGGTCATGCATGCGGAGGTACTGCAGGTTATGCAGGTGGACTTACCGCTGGATATGGACACACATATAATTTTTCCTATGGAGGAACTCAGACAATAGGAAATCCAAACGGAATCGGTTCTGACGGAAGAAATGGAGTCAATGGGTCCTGCCAAGCTGAAGGAAATGGAGGAAGCGGAGGTGGCTATAGAGGTGGATTGACATCCCCTGCTACATTTGATAATCCTGGTGGAGGGGGAAGTTCTTATATTTCTGGTAACTCTAGTTGCGTTCAATACGAAAATATAATTTTTAAGAATACAATAATTCTTTCTGGTGAAGACATCATAACTCTCCCAAGCGGAATGACTTCTCCTGGAAATCCAGATAATGGTTATTTACGAATAACATATATATACCCCTCTATTTCATGCATGTCAGAATCTTCAAAACTTCATTTCTTCGAAAGTATGTTCCTTTTGCTTATAGAGTAAGAAAATTACACAAACAATGATTTATCTCATTTCTATTGTAGTTTTCTCTTAATAAATATTCATGTATATGAAATTCAATTTTTGAAATTCTCAGCAAATATGCATTCGAAAAATGGTTTCCTCGAACAGTGATTCTTTGTTATGTATTATGACTATTCTTCAGATGGAATTCGTTTCCAATACATTCCAATCTGCTGTTGGATCAAATAATTATGTTTTTCTGGCTAAATGATCAATTTGATGATATGGTTCAGCAAAAACATCAAGAATATCATAGTTTTACTTGAAAACGCCATTATTATAATACTTTCAAGATGAAAGATTTTATTTCATGGCATTCTTTATTTGAAAACCGTTCATCACTAATTTGACTAATATTTTAAGTAATCTGATGAAGATAAGTCAATAATTTCAGCCAATATTTTTAAAATGTAATTTTTGAGAAATAATGATGCGAAATCATAATCAAAGTCTTTGCTAGGAGATACAAATTTATTAGTTTCATTTGTAAATCATGTCCGGCTTATGATTACAAGTTTGAATAAAATTCGAATTCTTATAAATGATGCATATATGCACTAGTATTTGGATACATGGAGTATTCTCATCTTTTTTACAAAGACAGAAATATACAGTAGCGAACGAATATATAAAGAAATCGGAGATAAAAATTAATACTTTTTATATCGTCACTTTTTTGTAATAATAATACTTATAGACTACAAGGAAAGAAATGACATTATTAAAATAAGTTCGAAATTGTCCGTAATTTGAGAGGAAATTTGACACAAAAAACCCACAATGACATGTGAATGATGCCCTTAAAATTGAGAGCGGATTGAAAAATGCTATGACTTCACATTCTCTTCTAATGGCTGAAGAAGACGTTCAGACACTCGTTATCGATAACGGCTCTGGTATGTGCAAGGCTGGCTTCTCTGGTGATGAAGCCCCACGCTCAGTTTTCCCATCCGTTGTCGGCCGTCCAAAGTACAAACAACAATTAGTTGGTGGCAATGCTAAGGATGTTTTCGTTGGTGATGAAGCTTGCTCCAAGGCTGGTGTCCTCATCCTCAAGTACCCAATTGAACACGGTATCGTCAACAACTGGGATGATATGGAAAAGATCTGGCACCACACATTCTACAACGAACTTCGTGTTGACCCAACAGAGCACCCAGTTCTTCTTACAGAAGCCCCACTCAACCCAAAGGCTAACCGTGAGAAAATGATCTCCCTCATGTTCGACACATTCAACGTCCCATCCTTCTATGTCGGCATCCAGGCCGTTCTTTCTCTCTACTCCTCTGGCCGTACAACAGGTATCGTTTTCGATGCTGGTGATGGTGTTTCCCACACAGTTCCAATTTACGAAGGCTACTCCCTTCCACACGCCATCATGAGACTTAACCTCGCTGGCCGTGATCTCACAGCCTGGATGGTCAAGCTTCTCACAGAGCGTGGCAATGCTTTCAACACAACAGCCGAAAAGGAAATCGTTCGTGACATCAAGGAGAAGCTTTGCTATGTCGCCCTCGACTTCGATGCTGAAATGGAGAAGGCCGCTACAGACTCCTCTATCAACGTCAACTACACACTTCCAGATGGCAACGTCATCACAATCGGCAATGAGCGCTTCCGCTGCCCAGAAATGCTCTTCAAGCCATACTTCGATGGTATGGAATATGATGGTATCGACAAGACACTCTTCGACTCCATCATGAAGTGCGATATCGATGTTCGTAAGGATCTCTACGCTAACATCGTTCTTTCTGGTGGCACAACAATGTTCCAGGGCATCGCCGAACGTCTTGACAAGGAAATCACAGCTCTTGCTCCACCAACAATGAAGGTCAAGATCGTCGCCCCAGAAGAGCGTAAGTACGCCGTTTGGGTCGGTGGCTCCATCCTTGCTTCCCTCGCTACATTCCCACAGATGGTTATCACCAAGGAGGAATACGACGAGGCTGGCCCATCCATCGTCCACCGCAAGTGCTTCTAAAAAGTTTTTTTTCGTTGTCTCCAATTTAATCAAAAAATATTTTTTCATTATTTACTTGATATAGCTATCTTTAAGCTGAACATTCAATATAATACATATGATATATATTGGAATAAAAATCAAACATGCTGCTTTCAAGGTATTTCTGGCGGAGTTTTGTATTATCTAATATTACAAAATGTCTGCTGAAATTGCGTCTATTATGCTTCTTGTTATCTGAAATGTTGGATACTATGATTAATGTCAATCCATTTTTATCAACATTCCAGATATTAATTGAATTGTAAGTGATCACAAAAATTAATCTAAAATGATTTGTAGTACATTTAAACTGTTTACGAAAAACTCAAATCGCTTAAGCGGCGGCTTCACCTTCCTCATCTTCTTCGCCTTCGCCCTGTTCTTCGACGCCGGCTGTTTCGTACATTTCGTACTCCTGGATGAGATCTGTCATGTTGGAGCGAGCTTCATCGAATTCGACTGTTTCGAGGCCTTCGTTGACGTACCAGTGGATGAAAGCACGGCGAGCGTACATCTTCTGGAACTGGGAGTCGACACGAGTGAAGAGTTCACGGAAGGCTGTTGTGTTGCCGATGAATGTAGCAGCCATCTTAAGACCACGTGGTGGGATATCGCAGATAGCGGACTTGACGTTGGATGGGATCCACTCGACGAAGTAGGATGTGTTACGAGCCTGGATGTTAAGCATCTGCTCATCGACTTCCTTAGATGACATACGGCCACGGAAGTGAGCGGAGGCTGTAAGGTAGACACCACGGCGTGGATCGCAAGCAGCCATCATGTTCTTGTTATCGAAGAGCTGGGATGTAAGCTCTGGGACTGTAAGAGCGCGGTACTGCTGGGAGCCACGGGATGTGAGTGGAGCGAAGCCAACGATGAAGAAGTGGAGACGTGGGAATGGAACAAGGTTGACAGCGAGCTTACGAAGGTCGGAGTTGAGCTGACCTGGGAAGCGGAGAGCGCATGTTGTGCCGGACATAACCATGGAAACAAGGTGGTTAAGATCGCCGTATGTTGGTGTTGTGAGCTTGAGTGTACGGAAGCAGATATCGTAAAGAGCTTCGTTATCAATGCAGAAAACTTCATCAGCAGACTCGACGAGCTGGTGGACAGAGAGTGTGCAGTTGTATGGCTCGACGACTGTATCAGAAACCTTTGGAGATGGGACGATGGAGTATGTGGAAAGGATACGATCTGGATACTCTTCACGGAGCTTGTTGAGAAGGAGTGTGCCGAGACCAGCGCCTGTGCCACCACCGAGGGAGTGGACAAGCTGGAAGCCCTGAAGGCAGTCGCAGGATTCAGCTTCCTTACGGATGACATCGAGGATGGATTCGCAAAGTTCTTGGCCTTCTGTGTAGTAGCCCTTAGCCCAGTTGTTACCAGCACCGGACTGGCCAAAGACGAAGTTATCTGGGCGGAAAAGCTGACCGAACTGGCCGGCACGGACAGAGTCCATTGTGCCTGGTTCAAGGTCAACAAGGATAGCACGTGGAACGTACTTGCCGCCTGTGGCTTCGTTGTAGTAAACGTTGATGCGCTCAAGTTGAAGATCTGAGTCACCATGGTAGGAACCTGTTGGATCAATGCCGTGTTCGTCAGAAATGACTTCCCAGAACTTAGCACCGATTTGGTTACCGCACTGTCCAGCTTGGATGTGAACGATTTCACGAACCATGTGTAATTATGAAACTAACGTATTTGGCCGTTATTAAGAAACAAAGGCCTCAATATTTTGTTTGAGATTTGATATGAAAAGTGACTTTATCATCATTTTAATCACGCATATGTCAAAACATATATTATATTTGAAAAAGCATAAAATAATTCAAAACGTATTTTTGACAACAATATCAATCAAATTAGAGTAATTGTTTCATAGTTAAAGGTACAAAACAGAAGATATATAAAAGAATGGCCAGCAGAAATTTGTTGAAATTAGATATAAAAACAGAATTCGAAGAATTATCAGCTTTTAATTGAAAGACAATAAGCTTATTTTCCCAATGAGAACAAAGAAATCAACAACGATACGGAATGGCAGAAAATCATAACTGAGAGACATAAAATTCATTGTGCATCGCGAATACACACAATCTAACAATGAAGGCAGAATAACTAAAGATCTCATTTGGAGAAATATCTGCTGATATCTAGTCAAGACTAATTTAAATGATGGTTGAAGCCAGTTGTCAGAAATTTACTTTTCATACACTTGAGAAAATAGCAAGTTATCATCTTGTTTTTATAATTCAGTAATAAATTGTGAGGGGGTGTGGCTCAGTGGTAGAGTGCGACTTTAGCATAGTTGAGGCCGGGGGTTCGATTCCCCCCATCTCCATTTTTATTTATTTTTTTGCTTTAGGTGATACGATTTCAAGTATTGCTTATAGCTTCAATTGGAGTAAAGATATTAATTATACTCAAACATATATTTGTAGTATAATTTGTAATGTTTTTATTCTTATGATATGGAAGTTCTAAGCTTGTCCAATATATATAAAACGTCGTTGCAAAATTATGGACCTATATAGCCCATGGACTAGTCCATGGTTGCTCCATATGAGAGGTTGATACTGTAGGAATGATATCTAACTACAAAATACTAGATATTTTAAAGAAAACGTTTGATACTTGTTAAAAAGTGTTGAGATGCTATGAATTGGTAATTTCAAGAAGTAATTCCAATTTTAGGCTCCTTAGAGAAGATATTTAAGGATTCATTCACTGATGAAAAAATTTGAAATTATTAATCAGATATCTTTAGGCCAAATTAAGTAAATTTAGATGTGTTGTAGTGTTAAAAATCTAAATAAGGGATTGCGATGATAAAAAAATTTATCTTGATTTCCTTTTAACGCCAGCGGCGGAGTTTGAAGACGTTGCGAACCTTCCAGTCAGCATAGCGTGATGGGCGGAGATGGCGGAAGCCATGGCCGACACCACTGAGACCACGGTGCTTGCGGCCAGCAGCTGTGAGGCCACGAGCTTCACGGCGTGTGTGGACGGAGTCGCAGATCCAGTTGAGCTTAGCATCGTGCTGGATAGCTGGGTGGACTGGGTCGACGAAGATGCACTCGAAGTACTTGAAAGCGCCATCCTGGTTAACCCAGTAAGAGTTAAGGAGGCGAAGGGATGGGAGTTGCTTACCAGCCTTCTGTTCAGCGATAGCCTGAAGGTTAAGGGATGGTGTTAATTTGTAAATATGGTGTGTACGTGGCTTACCATACTGGCGGTTCTTGGAAGCAACACGCCTGCGGGAGCCCTTGCGTACGCGGATACGGTAGACAACCATACCCTGCTTGGCCTTGTAACCCATGCGGCGGGCCTTATCTGGGCGGGATGGATGTGTAAGGCGGACAAGTTCTGGAAGTTGGCGGTATTCCCAGCAGCGAAGACGGAGGATGAAGCGCATAACTTCACTCTGCTTCTTTGTGTAGAGCTCACGGAGATATGTAAAAGCACCCATGAAAAAAGGAAGGGCTAAAACCGCCTGCCCTGTCACTTTTAGAATTTGAGCTTTATTTAATATTTTTCGAAATTAAGGGTGCGCCCGGGAGGATCATGTAAACTTCAGAATTTAGAACCTTAATTTTTAAGCAATAACTTGGTACCTAAATAGGTAGGAAAACTCTAAAAATATCAAAAAATACAACTTGGCTCCATAATAATCCTGTCATGGTGGCTGTTTGTATCCCCTAGTATTTTCCTCTTGAATCTCTTTTTCTGTCGAAATTAAATTCAAATCTCAGAAGTAGAAGTGAATAATCGACTTATTACTGCTATTATACGAATAAATAAATTCATCATATTATTTTTATTTACATAATATCTGTTTGAAGTCCATAATTCTATAAATTTTTCTTCAAAAACATTACAATCTTGATAGTTTTGATACTGTTTAATAGGTTTTTGGCACCTTATTTAGTATTTACTACGTATAGAGTCGATCTGAACTTAATTTTCGGAAATTTAAAATATTTATTATAAGTAAAATCTGATTTGAAATTTATGTTTAACTACTCATATCTTGCATTATCCTGAGTAGCTTTTGTAAAAATTCATCAAAAAAGATTTTAACGTGCTTTAATTTTTTTTAAAATAATGCATATTATTATATAACTAGCATATTTACAAATTTTAGTGCTTTCAAAAATTTAATCCTCCTCCTCTCAAATAAACGTACATCCGGGTGGCCTGTTTTTGCAAAAAATAAAATTTCATTTTTTATGCTTAAAAAGTCAGAATTTTTATTTGCTTCTGGGATATATGATGGCTATATCAGATGCCCATTCTTTTTGATACTCAACATTAAACATAAAACTTAGCCGTTAAGGCTCTTCTGAAAATATTTTTTTTTCCAAAAATTTTCAAAAAAATCAAAAAAATTTAAAAATCCCCGAATCTGCAGGGATTTTAAAAAATTCTTTTTAGTAAAACTTAAGGATATTGTATCAGATATATTGGTATGGGCAAATTCAATTTTAATCCAATATTCATCGAGATATTAAGTTAACGAAGCTTTCAAAATTGAGAGGGTAATCCTCCTCCTCTCAAATAAACGTACATGCGGGTGCACCCTTAAGTAGATTTTTATTATCTGTATAGTTATATGAAATGATTTGTAATGATCAAATCCAAAAATTAATGTAAATTTTGGAATTATTTTAGGTTTATAAAGGGTTCGTAAAGTACTCAATATTGAATACTTTATGGCGTCACATGCCAAAAAATTCAATACCGAGGCGTCATAATTTACAAAGTAATTTACTTGTCAAATTTTTTATGAGAGAGAATCGGAGCCTGAGATGCGCTGGACGAGAGACAATGCTTCTCATGAAAGACTAGAAGGGGGCCCTGACCTTGAGAAAGGACCCCCTTCTAGTCTTTCTGGCGAACTTTGTTTCGCATTGCGAGTGTCTGCTGCTTCTTTTATCTGAAGCAGCAGACACTCGCAATTGTAGGTCGCGGCAAGTGCACCCGTGGTACCAGAATGCACTTGCCACCATATTTTCTAAATTCAAAGATTATGCCGGAAGGAGCGGCAATACTGGCAAAAACCACTCCTTCCGGCACATGAAAGACCAGAAGGGGCACTAGCCAGTATTTCTCAGATGTACAAGAAAAAAAAATTTTTTTTGACACTTTACATGTGACGCGGCCCTTCTCAATTTTTTGCCATTATGACCCAGGTACTCAAATTGAGTAGTTTACACTCAAAATTGAATAGTTTACATGCCACGCCATTGTGACGCCAATTTTTCACTAGCCCAATTCTTTTCCCTTGTGGCGATAATTTTAAGAAAATTTTCAAGCCTATGATATATAAATGCATTGTATACTAAAATTTGAAATGAAAAAAACAATGTTCGAAAGAATTAGTTCATAACAGATTCCAGCTTTTCCAACATCAAAGAACGAAAAAATTATCACGCAAAATCCAGACATCAAAGATATTCCTATTAAAGGAATTGATATGCTATGAGTTGTGCTGAATATTTTGCAAGATATACGTTCAAAAAGATAAACCAAGAATCAAAGAAGAAAAGAAAGCCAAAGATGACTTACCAACACTTTATTGCCGCTCTCAAAACAATTTTTGGTCAGTTTATCATTCACAACAAGAAGAAAACTAACCTCAAAATGAAGAAAAATAAGAAGAGAAGCAACCAGAAGAAGCCAATGAAGATGCAAAAAAATAGTGAGGGAGAAGATCAACATCACAGGGAGCAATCATCTGTTGAACATGTTTCAGATCTTGAAGATGATATATTAAAATATGGATTTATACATAAGAATTGTTATTCGTTTGAAAAATGAAATATTTCATCTTCAATATTATGTTACCGTTTTTTAAATTGATATTTGCACATTGTGAAATAAGAAGTTCAGTAGTTTCTTTACGATATTTTATAACTGCGTTATAAAAAGTGGATTCTCTATATTCAACTTTTTCATTGATACAATTCAAAATCTTCTAAATTATAAGGAGCACAATCATTAAAAATGTAACAAAATCAATGTTGTGTGAAATAATTGCATATATCATGCATACATGATTTGGTGTTTGAGATTTCAAACATTCACTCATGATATCTTTGTTTCTGCCTAAAAATGAAAATTGAAGACATATTCCTGTTATTTTGGAGTTAAATTTCGTTATTAATAACTTGAAACAATCTACTGCTCCATGATAACAACATAATTCAAGTAATGAATATCCATAATATATATAATTCACTTAAAAATATATGCAAAGAATAGTATTATTTTGCACCATGCGAAATAAGAAGTTCAGCTGTTTCTTTATTAATATTACCTAATGCAATATGAAGAGCTGTAATTCCATATTTATCTCTTTCATTGATTTTTGCACCATGTGAAATTAGAAGTTCGGCTATTTCTTTGCTATTTTTATATGCTGCTTGATGAAGAGGTGTTCCTCCAAATTCATCTTTTTCATTGATATCTGCACCAAGTGAAATAAGGAGTTCGGCTGTTTCTTTACTATTATAATATGCTGCATAATGAAGAGGTGTTTTTCCATTATCATCTTTTTCATTGATATCTGCACCATACAAAATAAGAAGTTCTGCAGTTTCTTTACTATTATAACGTGCTGCATAATTAAGAGCAATTTCCCCATTATCATCTTTTTCATTGATATTTATACCATGAAAAATAAGAAGTTCAGCAGTTTCTTTGCTATTACGTTCTGCTGCATAATGAAGAGCTGTTTTTCCATCATCATATTTTTCATTAATATTTGCACCATGAGAGAGAAAATATTCGCAAAGAGATGGGATGTCAAACTCTGCTGAATATAAAAAACCTGTGTTAATATCATTAGTTTGATCAAAATAAACTAAAAGGGATTCAAGATTATTATAACGAGCACAAAAAAATAAATAAATCTCTAAATTGTATTCATTCATTAAAAATGTAACAAAATCAATGTTGTGTGAAATAATTGCATATCTCATGCATTGACCATAGGGTTCTTTATATTTCAAACATTCACTCATGATATCTTTGTTTCCGCCTAAAAATGAAAATTGAAGACATACTCCTGTTATTATGAAGTTGAATTTCGTTATTAAGAACTTGAAACAATCTACTGCTCCATGATAACAACATAATTCAAGTAATGAATATCCATAATAATCTGGATATAAACTGCTTATAAGTCTTTGATTTTTATCAAATCCTTCTCTTTCTATGAAATAGATGAATTTTTCTAGGTCATTATACATAATTGCTTTGTAAATCGTATCTTCTGTATGAATGTCGAGCTTTCCTAAATAATTTTTTTCAAAATCAGTATATTTGTCTAATTTAATTCCATATTCTTTATAAAACAGGAAACTTGATACTATTGGGATATCGCTGACTTCTGTTATATGATAATCATCACAAACGAATTTGGCAAGTGTCAAATATGACTTTGTATAGCGATTGTTATACGGAATGATCATTAAAATATCTTTTATAATGCTTTTAGGATGACGGTTCTTTGAGTCAATCAATTCTGTTTTGATTTGTTTGTAAATTGACTTTAAATCTTCATCATTTTCAGTTTTCAGCTGGTATAACGCATTATATATATCTATGTGGTATTGACAGATGCTTCGTAGCTCATTGTATCTATTTGGATTAACGTCTTGTTCAGACATTAAAAAATTTAAAAGTCATATATCAACATTTTACCATCTAAAATATCTTTAAAATTCATTGTGAGAATAATACTATGTCATACATGTGGAAAACAATCACTGCAAAGAATTGGAATATAAATTTTGAATTTTGATTTAATTCATATATATGGAATAATAAAATAGCAATAAGAAAGTCGAAATCAATAAGATTTTTATCCAAAAACGTAAATTATTAGAAGATTGAAATTTGTAATGTGATATGGACAAGTGTTGTGGCATTAGAGAAATTAAGTAAAGATATTGCATGTTTGTATTATAATTTAAGAAAAGAAAGAAATTATATTATAACAAAAATCAGTCAGTATAGCATTTCAAAGTAGTAATTTATAAGGACAAAGGAATATATGTCTAAAGCTTTCTTGGAGATTTTTGATATATTTATTGGCTTCAAAAGATGAAAGAAAAACATTTGTATTTTTAAGTATTATGAGAAAAACACTGTTTATTTTAACTTAATGATTACATATATAGTCTTTGATTCCAACATGTGCAAACTTAAAACGATAATCTTCGCTCATCCAGATGTATCCTTTCACAAGGAGCGGATGAAACTCATTGATTTCAGAGGGTGCAATAACAGTCTGATTTCCGCAGACTTTAAGTGCAAGTTCCTTTGAAATATTAAGTTTTGATAAATCTTTGCTAACGAACTCAGAAACAGAATCGAGAGCGTCCGCAAGTTTACGGCCATGCTTGAGGTCTTCAAATACTCTCTCGAAGATGCCTCCATGGTATCCAAATCTGGAAGTAATCGCTTTGAGTTCATTGACCGTGAAAATCTTATTGCTTTTAACGAATACCTTTTCTGGCTGGAAAACTTCATCCAGTTCGTAAATTTTGATACTCGAATCAAATAATGAAAATTTTGTTCTAAGGGAAGTATCTCTGAGCTCGCAGATAATGGGGACGTAATCAACATAGTCTTTTCTGAGAGCGAATCTGTTCAGTAATGCATTAAATAGCTCTGGGCAATGAACAATGATATTATCGATAGAATTGAAGAGGCAAGCAACAGGAATATACTGGTTAACTTCCTCAAGGCTATTGAAGAATTCTGACCATCCAATTGTGCCATTATGAAGTAAATCAATTTTCGACGATAAAACGAAATACAATTGAGAATAAACTGAATGAATGCCATATATTACCTCTGATGACTGTGGTGGTAAGTATTTTACTAAAAATCTTCTTTGAGCACCGGTAGGTTGCTTAAGCATTGCTAATCCCGAGAAAACAGCTGTTTTAACTAGGCCGATTATATCATTTGTATTTCTTGCTGTTGAGAAATCGACATTAATAACAAAACTATCACCTCGAAGCAATTCATATTGAACTTCTTCCAAAGCACGTGTTTTTCCTGATTGATAACCACCAGTCAATATAACTACATGGCGGGTAGGAACTGTGCTAATGTACTGATGAAGTGTTTTATTCAACTTGGAATCCCATCCATAAGGAATTCTTCCTGTATGGCGAACGAAAGGCTTCCTAAGCGTGAGAATGAAAATAATGATACTAATAAATAGAATGAGTATACTCCATCCAACAATTTTCCTGAGCCTGGAATTACTTGAATTTCGTGCCATAAAAAAAATTTATTTTTTATATTTTTCCCCCTTTTGTAAAAAAAATCCTTATTACTAAAATTCTGGCTTAAAACTATAGCAATAGACTATACATGATATGAATATGCAGATGACAATGTTTAGATAAAATCTGGTAATACAATCTTGAGTTATTTCTGATTTATTTTAATTATTAAAGAATGTTGTTTCAAATCGACTATTTTGAATAAAAATTAGAGACAAATACCTCTTTTTTCAATAATTTACAAATTTTCATGAGTCGAGGAATTGTTCCTAATTTCGAATATATTGGTTCTCATATCAAAGAATATATTCAAAACAATAATCTCTTTGATATCTTCGATATAGAAGACATCAAAACTATCATGAAACATTCATAATTCACTGCAAGTGACTTTGAAAATCACTACAGAAGTAGATCAGTATTAAATCATAAAACTAATTTTACATCATTATCATGCAAATGAATTTGAAACTTGTTCTTTCCATTGCTAAATAACGACCAATTGGTGAATTCAAGGTATTCTTAAATAAGCTACAATTTCAGCATATTAAATATTAGTGTATCTTGTTATAGCAAATTTCCTATAAATATTTTTAGACGTCAAGATTGAAACACTTTAAACTAGCTCATAATTGTCTAGAATCAACATGGACAATTGAAAGGGTAGCAAGTAGTATATGTTGAAGGGTCGTGTGACTTTTTTTGTAAACGTAAGAATTCATACAATATTGAACGATTTTGTATCATTTTTTTTAACATATGAAGTAAAAATGTATGATTCTTACGGTTTTTATTCTTACGTTTTTGAATAAATCAAGTAGTATATGTTGACGGGTTTTGTGACTTTTTTTGTAAACGTAAGAATTCATACATTTTTGAGCGATTTTGTATCATTTTTTTTTACATATGAAGTAAAAAATGTATGATTTTTACGGTTTTTATTCTTACGTTTTTGAATAAATCAAGATTTAAAAATTTTCAGAATCGTAAGAAATTTTCACTAAACCCATACATAATGAAATAAAAAAAAATAAAAAAAATAAAAAAATAAACTTTAAAAATTCATGTCTTACATTTTTTGAATAATTTATTTTTTTAATTCGTATGAAAATGAGTGTCAAGACTAACGACGTTAAAAAATTGGGATTCACAAACGAGGAAATAAAGGATATATTAGAGGAGGCGAGTTATGAAGTTAATAAATATTATTTAAGAAATTGTCAAAAATTCGCGGAGTTATTAAATGATTTAGATTATGATGGAAAAATGAATAAAGATGATGTTATAAATTTCTTATATCCCACATCTGAAGAAGAAAAACCTAAAGAACCTGATGTTTTCCCTGAATATTATGAAGAACGGATTAAAGATGATGAATATGATGAAATTGAAAGACTGGAAAAAATAAGAGATGAAATAGATGAAAAAATTAAGGAATTAAGAGAAGTTGAAAAATATAATGAGAATGAAGTAGAGGGTTTAATGAATATCCCAGCTTCAGAATCAGAAGTTCAAAAATCTCATGAAGAAAGATATAAAAATTACTTTTTGGAATCTACTAAAAATTTATTAGATGGTGAAATAGATGAAACACTTTCAGAAGAAGGCACAAAATTTATTCATAAACATAAGTTACAATTTATTGACGATGGAGATTATCCATGTATATTACTTTCACCTCCTCTTGATTCTGAAAAATTCAAAAAAGCACTGAAAAATGTAACATATGCAACAAATACGATTAAGAAAGAAGACCATGATATTTACACAAATTATTATTTAAATAAATGTACAGGTGTTGATAAAGTTTTTGATTTGTTAGATAAAATATCAAAAGAAACAATTGGTACATATAAAATTTTATGCGATTGTGGTTTCATTATTGAAGATACTAATAATGTTTCATATGAAAGAACAGCACCGAAGGAAGACGAAGTTGAAAGGTCTATACCATTCGTTATTAAGAATATAAAAGATATGAAAACTTATAAACATTATATTTATTCATTTATTTCAGAAAAAATGGAAGCAACCCATAAAACATCATCTCATCATTTTATAGCTATTCATACATTCCTTTTCAAAGTTGTGAAATTAAATAAGACAGGAATTAGATTTAATGTATCAGGGTACGCATTCTTGAGTAAATTAAAATGTATTCGTCACGTCGCAGATGATAAAAATTTATGTGTTCTTAATTCATTTTATGGACTTTAGCCCTGGACTTTAAAAAAAATAAACTTTATTTTTATTTATTTTTTAATTTTTTATTCTTACATAAATGAACAAAAACGGAACAGCTAAAATGAATGATAATCAAATAAGAGCCGAAGGTAGAAGGTTATTTAAACGCTTCTATAACATTCCTGATGGTGTTAATCCTAAAACTCGTAGAAGTTATTTAAATGAAGCCATAGATGCATATGAAGGATTTGACATTTCATCAGAAAGTGAGAGGTTAGCAAGAATGTTAAACGTTAATATTGATTTTTATTATTGTGACCCTCAACCAGAAGACGTAGACATAAATAAGGTAGACTTTCCATTAGTGGAATCAATAATGATAGATCCAGAATTTGAAACAGTAAATATTTTATTAACACAGAGTCCATGTGGAAAACTTCACGCTGACAGAATTACAGACGTTGAAGCACTCACAGGATATAAAGTTTGCCCCTTTTGCAAAGAAGAAGTATATTCTATCCGTGATGACCCAGAAAGGAAAAACCAAAGAAGATTTTTAAAACATTGTGAGAAATGTAAAGAAAATAATGGAAGATTAATTCAAGACGTTCAATTGCAAAACACACAACAACCATATGCACCACATATCACGAAACAGAAGATATATCAATGGCTATTAGCTCACAATTTGCAGGAATATTATAAACCAACAAGATATTATATTACTTTTGACTTCGAAACATTAGAGACTAAAGAAGAACTTCAACTTTCTGAATGTGCAACTTTGAACGCTTACTTAAAACCATTTATGGTATCATCAACTGTCAAAATAAAGCCGCAAACGGACTCTTTGAGTCCTGAAGGTCTTTCAGACCGAAGCGGCGAGGTCGTAGACCGTGATAAAACATTTACGAGGAATTTTTGCTTAACATCAAGTGATTCTTTTATTTCTGATTGGATTGAGTTTTTATTTTCAACCTGTTCATTAGTTGCTAAATCAAATATTGAACAATATGAAGAATTAATGAAGCCGCAAACGGACCAAACGGCGGGGACTTTGTCCCATACATTAAATGAAAAACAGAAGGAAGCATTTAAAGAACTTCTAGATGAGGAATTCAATAAAGTGAATATCATAGGTTTTAATTCGGGAAAGTTTGATTTAAATTTAATTCTTCGTGATTTAAACACTGCAAAATGGAAAATAAAATCAATGCTGGGTTCTTCTTCTCAATTTAAGCAAATCATTGTAAAGAAAACAAACTGTCCATATGAATTAAGATTTATTGACATCAGAAATTATATAGCGGGTGGAACATTAGACCAATTCACTCAAGATTTCGGAAACAATAAATCACGTGTTAAATCCTTTTTCCCTTATCAATTCATCACATGGGAGAATTACGAAGATGAATTATATAAAGTGGAACCATTCACTCAAGATTCATTTTATTCAGCATTAACTCAAGAAACAATATCCGATTCAGATTATCAAATATATCTCAATGATGCTAAAAATTTTGAGAATAGATTAGAATATTTTATTCATTATTGCAATAAAGACGTTGAAATTATGATTGACCCAATTGATAAAATTATTGAAGAAACATTTGTTTATAAAATTGACATGCTTCATAATCTTTCTTTATCATCGAATGCATCAATGATTCGTTACGCGTTAGCATATAAGAACTTCAATCCTAACGAAACATATCCAGAAGAAGAAAATGTGGAATCAAGTTTTGAATTAACAAAAAAGTATTGGAAATATAAAATTGATTCATATAAGAAACAAGATGAAAAAGCAGAAAGGGATACTAAAAACAATGTTTCAATGGATGACTATCAATACTATCACGATTTAATCCTTTCATCTAAATGCAAAATGTGTGGTAAAGCGTTTACATATGCTAATAAACCAACATTAGATAGAATCGATAATGAAAAACCACATACCAAAGAAAATTGTCAGTTAATGTGTTGTTATTGCAATGTCGTAAAATCAAATAAAGATGAAGATGTTCAACGTTTAAGAATCAATTTAAAAATTATGCATTAAAAAATAATTTACCAATGACTCTAGATTCAGTTGAAGCTTATCACATCCTCCGTAATGGAATTACTGGTGGTTTATCAAATGTTCAACATAGAGTAAATCTTAAAGGAATCACGCACATTAATAAACTTTCATATAATCCAGAAACTAAAACTGTATCAAATGAGGACACTTCCAACATTATGACTCATTTCGTTGGTGTTGACTTTAATTCATTATATCCTTCATCATTTTCATCTAATCCTCATGATTTCATTCAATATACTGACCATAAAATGTATATGCCGGGAAGATTGAATGGTGTTATCATTTGTGATACAGCAACAAAGAAAGCAAAAGCACTGGGAATAATTAAGAAGAAAAATACTTTATTCGTGGCTGAAGTAAAGGGTCACATTGATGAAAAATACATTAATGATTACATAAACTTTTTACCGATAATAAGAAACTTTGATATTATCACAGATGAAAAAACAATTGGCAGTTTTATGTATAATTACATGAAATCAAACAATCTACCAGTTGACCAGAAACAAAGAAAATTAACTCAGTTAGCATCAACACACAACCAATATCAACCATTTTCTTCTTATTATCTTTGGTATCTAATAGACAGATTTCATTTTATCATTGATGACATTCAATCAATTTTAACATTTACTAAAAACACTTGTTTTAATGAATTTGCGAACGAATTTATGAATGAAAGACAAAAGGCTGAATTAGAAGGAAATAAAGGAAAAAGTTTATTTTGCA